GAACTGCACAGCATTTTTATGTAACACGTGGGAAAATTGTGCAGCATGGGAGTTTTGAATGTTAATTCTGCAGCTGTACTAAATCCAGTGTGTCAGACTCTGTCTGCAAGCRAGCCAGATTTAAGGAAGCACATTTTTACTGCAGCACAGGAGGCTGGAAAATGGTGAAGTTGGTGAAGTTCACCAGGAGGAAGTTTGTATAGGAGTCTAAGATGAATTCCAATATTCATTCAGCAGTGTTGCACTTCAGAAGTAGTTCTCAGTTAAGTAGCAAATACTTCTGTAAGTATTCTTGCATTATATCTTTCTATTAATGAAGAAAAGCATGGCATGAGCTAGAACTCTTCAATTAAGATAATCATTACCATAAACAGATGTTTTGTTTGACAGTTTGAGGGATATGGGTGTGCTGTGATTTAGTTCAGAGATTTTAGTTCAACTGAAGACTTAATTGAATAATTGCTAATTGTATCAAYCACAAAATCACCTCTGCTTTGATTTAACAGAAAAATGGCTGAGTTTGTCCTTGTTTTCCAAAATAAAAATAATTTTCAAAGTAAGGAGGAATATTTTAATTTCACTCCAGAAACTTTTACCTTCTGATTCAGTGTCTGCACCCTAATTTTTTAAAGCCTAATTCTACAGACACAAGCAATTACTTTTAAATTTGGTAAGACATTTAATCACTTGACCTTTTCAAACAAAAAAAAATCCTTTCCATATTTGTAAAGTGTTACAGGCATAATCTGGATAATCTTATTACATGACAAACATGGTCTTACTCGTGGATAACACTTCCTAACAAACTAACACACCCCTGTTAAAACAAAATCTTCTTTTGTTGGAAAAGAAGTAGAAAAGCCCCCCATACCCTTAAGAGAATTTTAAGTATTGTCACCAGGCTAAAAACAGCAAGTAAATATTAACTTTGTGAAGTGCAAAACAAGTTTTATTGACCTGTGAGGTAAATATTGACTGAAATGAAGCAAATATTTATGAGCTGACTTTAACGGGACGAATCCCCTTCACCACAGCAAATAAGATTTTGCCTACTGCATTTCTGGGCTTGTATTTATTCCAAAAGGTCTGAAAGGAGATATTTCCTTTTCCAGACATCTGCTTTTTAAAAACAAAACTGTCTTTCCTCAGTGACTAAAYTGGATATGCAYCCAGAGGGTTGGAATATTGTACAACACACAGGTTTGACAAATTGCTTTTAGACAGAAAACTCACTTAACTAAAATCTGACCAGGTAACAACATCCATGACCCTTCTTTGATTCCTATAAAGGTAAACAGAAAGTCAAATTCCATTTTATTAGTTATGCTAGARGATTAATTTGAGTTTAGAACATAAATGATATTGCTAAATATCACACATGGTGGRATTATTGGGGCTGTCCTGTGCAGGAATTGGGATTTGATGRTCTCAGTGGGTTCCTTCAAACTCAGGATATTCTATGATTTAACAAGGAAAATACAGAATAATTAAGGATATAACTATTAGCAGGTACTACAAGCAGAATATAAATTGACCAACTCATCTTCTCCTTCCTGRTAAATCCACTCATGTTTACACACATGAGAATTCATTGTTCAGYTGAACGATTTGCACAGGGATTCGCATGCATCAGATGGGGAAAATCCCCGATTYTGAGAAACTTCGAAGATTCTACTGAAAATTCTGGCACCTTTAAGGACACCCACTAGAGAATACCAACGTCATGATCATTACATCTTCTGACCTAAATACCTCCGTAATTGTCTTACAGCAGCAATTAACACACTCCTCCTAAATTCTTYAACAGCTGAATATTCTTTGAGTCACTGTGTGTAACAGATCCTCCAGTGTCACTACAAGAAAAACCCAGTTCAGAAAACAGCTTCTCTACTCGKTTGTGATGACCACGGGAATCGCTCCTTCCTGCAGATAAAGACAGAGGCTGAGCACCCTCCTGTGCAGGGAGCAAAAACTGCAGCTGCCCTTTGTGGCTCCGCGGGCTGATTCTCATTCAAAGCTTTATCTTTGCGTTAAAAAAAAAAAAAAAAATACTCCGGGATCTAATTCAGCAGCTTTGGGACAATTACATGACCCCATTGCAGTGGAATTACTCTGGGTTTAGAATGATTTCACAGGAATGAACACGCTGCTGTACACAGAGGGCTTGTAAGATTTCTGGAAACCTCGGGGAACAGGATGATGTCATTGCAATATAAAAATATCTGCTTCGAATTCCTTGCGAGTCTCCTTGACAAAGCTTGGAGGATCAGAGTTCAGCAGTGAAACTCAGCCATCACYTCGGGGATGTTTTCAAAACTGGGCTCTATTCATCACTATCTCAGACACAGGAGCTGTTTTCTTGTGCTCAAAATACAAACTGAAGTCAGGGCTGTAGAGTTGCAGRAGACAGTTTTTAAAAAGATTGAGCATTCAAAGCTCAGGAAACATTCGAATTTTAAAGGTTATTTGAGCCTCTTGGCAAGACTTTCAAATCCTTCAAACAGTTTAAACTAAACTCTCTTAATTTTACAGAAGTCTTCCACACTCAAGCAGCATTTTGGGTAAAATGAAGACAACCAATAAAGCCTTTGAATATTCAGGACATTCTGCCATTCTACAGACTCTTACCAAAAAAACTATTTTTTTTTATCATATCATTAACTAAAATTGCTTTCCCTGTATCTGAGATCAGCTTCTTTAAATTCCACCACAGATGATGCCATACACCTCATTTTCTAGCACTACTTCCTTCCACACCTTCTGATGAAAAAAAGGTGGCACAAAAGGTGAAGATTGTAATCCCCTGACCTGCTCTGTGGGTGAAGATTTCTGCAGGGCCCTTTCAAGACACAAAATAAGTTCTTCTAATATTTCTGCCCATRAAACAAGCTCTCAGTAACTTTTAACAGAGAGTAAATGTTGCAGCAGAGAGAAATACTGAGCTGCCAGGGCATTCCAGGCAGAATTCCACAAGGATCAGAGATTGTTCCAATGTTTTAATGCACTGAACAACCCCAAGAAAAGCAGGTACACGCTGATGAAAAGTGCTGATTGCAYCACTTAAGGAGGTATCACTTGTTCCTGGGAGGATGAGAAAGTCTGGGATACTTCTGTGTGTACAAACACCTGAAAATGTGCCTGGGCACTATATGAAATTTATTGGCATCCTGGGAGCAGAATCCAAATACAGATTGGTAAATTTATTACCAGGTATTACATKACCTAATACGTGCAATACCCGTGGGGAAAGACTTCCAATTTTAGGTGAATAATCTCCCAAATCTTTCTTGTGTCAGGAGTTACTAAATCCAGAGGTCATTAATGGCATTAGGAAAACATACCTGTTAAATAACAACATCTCTGAAGAGTTACACACCTTCTAATGAGCTGTGAATTGGAGATAAATCAGCAAGTGGCCTGCATGAGTAAACACCATTGATTAATAAGGTGCCACGAATTAATTTCATATTTCCAGTGCATGTAGCAGCGAGAAACAGTTTGAGAGCAACGTGGATTTAAAGCTACATTTGTACTTTAATGCATTTTATAATTACAAAAAAGAAACAGCTGAACAAATCTTTTATATTTATACCCTTCCAAGCGATGTACAGAAGGCATGCATAATTTCCAACCATAAAACACTATTTAAAAATAAAAGATTTATAATTGCTTTTCCTGATTTGAGAATCAAATTCAGATTTTTTTTTCACATTGTCCTTCACAATCCAAACACGATGCGAGTGACTGACTGAGCAAAGAGTGGGAGAATGAACAATATGGCACAGCATAAGTCAAACACAACAGGTTTGTGTTATCCTTGGAAATATGGGGACATGGCCATGAAATTCTTCGAGTGCTTCCTGCCAGGCATCTGAGATCTGCATTGCTGCTGCTACTGAGCAGTATTGTGATAATTAGACAGAAAAATTATACAAATGAGAAAGGTCTTCTGAGTTCAGAGGGCCTACAGGAACAGGAGGCCCGTGGGTAGGTTTAATACTTCAGTATATTTGTAATAACCAGCCCAGGTTTCTTCCAATCCATCAGCCACAGCCCGAGTGAAACGCAGAGGATATGTGACCTGAAATTTCCAGTCGGGAAAATTCTAGGCACAGTTTCCAAAAACATCATAAAAGTAGACCAAATTGCCTCCTCAAAACCTACCTCCAACAGACCCAGGGATGCAGCCAGTGTTTTCAGCTATTTCCCTGGAAATAAAGGAGAAGGTTTCTTGTTAGATGGTGTCACTGAACACCAGGCCACTTAACTCTTCCAAACACTTTGYTTTGCACCTCATGAGATCTATGTTTAAGGGCTCAACCTTTCCCTCTCCAGGGATTGCTGACCCCACAGCATTTCTGTATTTAAACTTTGGAATTAAACCAGCATTTCTGTTCTAACTCAAAACAACACAGACTTTCAAAGCTGCTCAGATATTAACCCCACTTTCCGTGTGAGCTGCATACCTAAACACTTCTAGAAAAATATCTCAGCCAAGGAAAACAGATGCCATTTCTGGACGCAAACTAATTTATTCAAGAGCATATTTCAAAAGAAAAACCTGTATCTGTTTCATTCCAAGCCTCTCCCAAGAGCTATAGCAGCATTAACTAGGGCAGCGCTTTCCGCAGGTTTCCTGGGAGGCAAAGCCAATTTCCAGACAGCAGGACTCCCCTAATCGCCACCGACAAGTAATGACACCGCCGTACACATATATTTATATGTATCCCTTCATTTCCTTCCTTATTATTGACTTCCCCGATTAATTTTAATTGAAGCGTTCAATAAAAAGCAACAGGAGCCTCCCCCCTCATTTCTCATTTTGGCGGGGTTGAGGCTGAGGGGAGGCGCCCCCCCCCCCCCGTCCCCTCATGGGCCGTGACGGTGCGAAGGCCGCGACGTTGCCAGAGCAACGCCCAGCTCGGAGCCTTCCTCCTCCTCCTCCTCCTCCTCCCTCCTCTTCTTCCTCCTCTTCCTCCCCTCACGGCTCCTCCTCTTCCTCCCCCCGCCGCGCCCTCTCCCACCCCCTCGGCCCCGGCGATGGCGGCGGGCGGCGGGCGGGAGGCGCCGGGCGCCCCATGAGGTACCGGGCAGGGGGCGGGAATGGGGCCGCCCCACGCGTCCCCTCACGGCGCAGGGCGGGCAGGGGGACAGGGGAACGCGGCTCCGAGATCACCCTTCCCTTCCCTTTCCTGTGCGGGAGTCCCAGCGGTACCGAAGCACCCGAGGGGATCCCGGTACAAACCCTCCTGAGGAGTTCCCGGCGGTTCAAACCCTCCCGGGGGTCCCGGCGAAATGCGGGGGGAGCAGCGGCCTCGGGAGAGACGAGGAATGTCTGAAGGGCCTTTATCAAAAGCCTTATTTTAGCTAATTTTTTTTAGGGAAAACAAAATCTGGGTGAGGGCGGGAGTCTTCTCTGAAATCCCATTTAATAACTCGGTGATTCGAAAGTTTGCTCGGCGCAGTGCCAGGGGCGGCTGCGATCCTCCGGCTCCGGCTTTTTGAACAGCGAGCTGTCAGTTCTTGCAGAGCCCGGCCTTAAAGCACGAACTGCAGTGCAAATGAGGTGGTTTTTCATTCCTTCCTTTTAAAATATCATTCAGTAACACTGTTCACACAAGTCAATAGCATCTCCAGGTCATCGGCTTTATTTATGTGAAAAATACAGAGCGACAATTTTGTCTGTTTCAAAGAATGATGTCATCTTTGGCCAACAGAAAAATAGTAGTAGTACGAACAGCACTTGTAAAGTGCTGTACTAAGTTCTCACATTGATGTATTAAAGCGCTTTTACTCTTTAATATTAATCTTCATTTTAAGGGCTAAAGTATTTGAGGTTTGTGCAAATGCATCCAGAATTTTTTGCTGTGCAAAACCAATTTTCCTTTAACGTTTCTGTATCCCCAGTGAAACTAGCTGTGGAAGGAATAATTTCAAAGGGGAACCTGTGAGAGTTTGAAAAATAGGAAAAGGATTATAAAAAATTCTCAGTGTTTCAATATTWCTCTGTAGTGACAAGTATTGTGTCAAATCCAGCTTCAAGGCATTCTCCAAAATCATTACTCTGATGTCACACCAGTCCAGAGAAGCTGATTTAACCCTATTTGATCAGAGTAAAGACTGACAGAGAAGTGAGAAACTGCCCAGAAGACAACCAAAAGGTGCCAAAGCAAAGATAAATYAGACCTCATTTGGCTGCATTTCATTTTTCACTCTTTTAAATGCTTTTTAGAAAATGGCCTAACCTGGTTCTGCTCCCTTCCCCAGACAGGATAATCTCATTAATCTCATAATGGCCCTCAGTTTTGAGCATGCATTGGCTTTTGACTGGACATGTCTGAACCAGTGTTCACCAATTAATGCATGGAAATGCACKCCTTGCTTCCTTCTCATCAGTATTTGCTCCTCTGGCCCACTGCTGTCGCTATTTTTGTGAAATTATGCAGCACTTCCAAGATCTCTYCTGTACAAGCCAGTGCTGGTCTCCTGTCCAGCAGCTTTTTCTGGTCTGATTCACACTTTTAGCTGTTCCTAAGGCAGCCAGGTTACTGCAGACTGGAAAATCTGCACGTGGAGGGAAGGAAATGATTTAATATGGGACATTTAATATGGRAGGTTGTCCTGTGGAGATGGGATGTGAACCACAGAACTCGGGCAGGATCGCGGAAAATCTTGCCTTCATGCAATCACTCAGACAACTATTGGATTCTTTTTATTTTCCTGAACTATTTATCTCTTTCTTCAACTGTTCCTTTTTATATCCCGCTCTAGGAGACAGAAATTAGAAAAAACTCCAGGCAATAACCCCACCATGCAACCCAACTGCGCCCATCTCCACAACATCCAGGSCGTTGGCGGTGACTCTTCCTCCTCACCGAGGCTGTCAGGAGAAGGCTCCTGCCACCCCTGCTCGGGGGATGTGCGCATCCAGCTCAGCTCCACGGCGGGGGAATCCAGGGAAAACTCGAGCTCCCGGCTCTCCAGGCCGGGCTCCCAGAGCCGCTCCCACGGACACGCCCATGGGGAAGCAGCGGGGATCGAGGAGCCCGCTCCGGACCCGGAGGAGCAGGGCGGCAGCTCCCTGTCGGAGCTGCGGTACCTCCTGCAGTGGCTGCACAAGAGCCTGCCCTACCTCCTGATCCTSTGTGTCAAACTCATCATGCAGCACATCTCTGGTAGAGTATAACAAAATCAGCTCGAAGGGAACAGACCCTCCTCCCCCCCCCCGCCACCATACTAAGAACCATGCCTGAAATGTAATTCGATTTATTTTTAGCTTTATTTTTATTTGCTTTATTCATCAGAAAGAGAKATTTACTAAACTACATTTCAGTGGCTTCTGTTTCCTTTGCTGGCATATGTACAATGTGCTTAATTATCCTGGCTTGAGAGTCTGAGCTATTAATTCTAATTACAAAGACATATTAGAAGTGGCTGCTTTTTAACCCAATTCAGTGATTTTTTTTTCTCCTTTTCATGTTTATAACTGATCCTATTTTCCTAATAGGCATTTCTCTTGGAATTGGGCTGCTAACAACTTACGCGTATGCAAACAAAAGCATAGTAAATCAGGTTTTTCTGAGAGTAAGTATCACCCTATGCAACAGAATTCTTTAGCCAAGACTTGAACAAGTTAATCCATTTTTCACAGATATGTGAATGGAGATAGTGTTTTATTTACTTAGTAATAATATTAGCTATTGAGATGGAAGTAAAGTCTTAATGCTTCTGCACAGGGGAGCTTCTCAGATAATGTTTGCAAAATTCAAAAAGAGGGGGGTTTTCCCCCTCCAGCTATTGAAATCAYTTTGCCTGATAAAAGCTTTTTGTAATTTACAGAGTAACTTCTTAACTGTATTTGTGGAATGATAGCAGTTGACAGTTTAAATTTTCAGCTGTGTTCACTCCCTAAGGGAAACCTGTGGTTTCTTCAGAGGGGGTGGGTTTTGGTTGTCTTTAGGAAATAACCTTGGCACACCTAGAAACTGATCAGTTGAAAACATTAAAATTATTCCTTTACYTTTCCATTGAGTTCTCCTATTTGATGTGGCCAAAACTCACCAAGATTAAGTCCTCTGGTAGGAACTGTTCAGGTGCAACAGACTTGGTGTTTGGGGATGGATTTCAGCACTGATTCCGAGGCAAGGACTGCAATGTGTCTTTACATTTACCTTGCAGGAACGGTGCTCCAAGTTGCAGTGCACTTGGTTACTACTGTACCTAACTGGATCATCTCTCCTCTTGTATTACACCTTCCACGCTCAGTCCCTGTATTACAGGTAAGTAGAAAAGCAGCTTTACCTCACCATAAATTGCTCTGACATTAACTGGGAACATTTTATCTGCTGTTTTTCTTTAACTGTGGCATTGGTTTCTCTTTCACTTTAATCTCCATTCRTCCCCTTCTGCCAAACTCAACAGGTGCTGTCCTTAAAAACAGTATGTTGGAATTTCTTAGAATCCATRCTCAACTTAATGGCACTGCTGTACTACAGGGAGCATTCCTGGGTTTGATTCCCAGCTCTGACCCTTGGGAATACCAAATGTGGCATTCTGGGGCTCTGTGGAGTTGATTTTTTCCCTTGACCATTCTGTAGCTGCAGTCTTGGCTGGAAATCAAAGGCTAAATGCCAAACTGAGACAGCAAATTGAGCTCTGGAGGATGGGGGTTCTGATGAAGATCCAGCAACGGAGGTTCCAAAATGGAAAGGCTGTCAGAGATCCTCAGTGATCCATTCACAATGAGCAGTTCATTTTCTTAGCAAATGTTTTTCCTTTGTGTAAACCAGGTTTCCTTTTTTAATTAAACCCGCTGTGATAATCTCAGGTTACAGTTTCCTCTAAATAGGGTGCTCCAGTAACTTCTGATACTTCTTTTTGTAGCTTAATCTTCTTAAGCCCCACTGTGGATTTTATGAACTTCTGGGAGGTACTTTGGATTGTGGGAGTCACAGACTTTATTCTGAAATTCCTCTTCATGGGCTTGAAGTGCTTTATTCTCCTGGTGCCTTCTTTTATCATGTCCTTTAAATCCAAGGTAAGGAAACAAGCTATAGTTTTGCTTCCTTGTGAAGATTCTCTTATAGTAAAAGTAACTAATTATYAAATTCTACCCAGAGAAAAGTCTTTAATTAAATGTCTGTGTATAATCCACCACTACACCGTGGGCAAGAAAACCCTGTGGATTTCATGTTCTTCTCTGCTTGGTGCTAAAAAGGTTTTCAGTCTGATCTGAAACAATTGCTTGTATTATATCATTGGATAAATGGGTTTATTTCTGTCTCCAAGTTGGGGGTTGAAGAAACCTTTTATTTTCTGCACTGCAGGAATGTGTACAYGGGCAGTTAGCCTGGAGCAGCTGGAGCACAGCAGATTTTGTACATGCTCAACAAGAACTGTCAAGATTTTAAGATCTKCTCATGCAAAACAGCTGTTTTTTTCTGTCTCTTCAAAAATAATCCTGAATGTTCTTTGTTGTTAATAAACTCAAGTAATATTTGTTTCAGATCAAGGAATTTGATTCATAGCTTAATTTCTCAAATCAGTGAGATTTAATAATTTTCTCAGAAGCTCACACTGATTGGTGGTGTATTTATTTTTATCTGCTTCCCAAGGTGAGGCAGGCAAAACCAATTACATTTTATCTTAAAATTGCAATTACTAGTGCTGGCTCATAAAAAATAAATTAACAAGTACAGTTTGATGTACATTTGAACAGGATGTTTGGGGACGATTTTATCTCCTATAATGTACCAGAACAAGTTCTTTCAGGTACAACTGGCTTYTCTAAATGCAGATTTATAACCAAGATCTCTATGTTCTTCTATAGCAGTTCAGCAATGAATTCTGTTATTATTACTTGGACAGCTGTGGTGAGAGTCATCATCTGGGTGGTTTTTTTTTCATGCTTCACATTTAATTTTTTCAAGATATGAGAAGAAGTGACTCAAAAGAATAACAATGCATCTTTTCTCTGTATTTTTGCAAATCCTTTGTGTTTTAAATCTTGAGCTATTCCTTTGCATGTCTTGCTTAGGGCTACTGGTACATGCTGTTAGAAGAACTCTGCCAGTATTACCGTATGTTTGTCCCCATCCCAGTTTGGTTCCGTTATCTCATTGCCCATGGGGAGCTGGACACTGCACTGGGATGGACCTTTGGGATCCTGCTGGGCCTTCTCTACCTCATCCTCAAAGTATGTAAACTTTATATAAACTTTATATAAAMTTCTCAAGTGATTATTCTGCAGGAGTGATCATTGAGGGTTAGAAATACAAATTAACACATTTCTGAAAGTTCCCCTCTGAACTCACTGGGAGCTTGGTGCTTCAGTTAAACTGATGCAGCCTTCCAGTTAAACTCGGGCTCAGGACACCAAACYTTCTTTTTATGGCAATAGATTGGGATTCCAAAGCATGATTCCCTCACATAAAACACTGATCAGACCATCAGCAGATACTGAGGAACTTGCAAAAATAAAGATGAAATTAATGGCTAAAAGAATCACTGTGTTCCAGGGAAATAAATTTTCTSTCTGCTGGAGAATCCTGTTGATGCTAAACAAGTTAAATTGTTCATACCAGCTCTCTGCTTCTCCAAAGAGTTCCAAATGTTACCGGACTTGGGTTTAAATAAGTCTACCTTTGAACAGGACCTGAACACCATCATGCTTTGGTACCTTAACTACAGAACTAAAGACTATTGCAAATATGATAATAATGCTGATATATTTGCACTCCAGTGCTTCATTTCAGAACCTCAACATGTCTTCTTTTAAAACCAGACACCCAGTAGGAAAAACTTCAGCCTAAATTCTTAGTTTGGTTACCTATCAAACAACTAAAATAGGATCAGTCTTAACTATAGCTGTGCTTATATTCCTTCCAACATCCAATCAGCAGTGAGATTTCCAGTGTTGGAATTAAAAGCTTGGAAGCTTTTAGTTCACAGTGAAAAAACATAACTTGAATTTTCTTTCCCATTTCAGCTGTTGAGCTTTTTTGGACAATGGAGAAACTTCAGGCAGGTCTTACGGATATTTTTTACACGCCCAGTGAGTACTGACTTCTCTTATGACAAAACCATAACCCCAGWTTACATGAAAACCCTTTTAGAAATGCCTCATTCCTATTCCTTTGTATTGTTTTAGCAATAAGCAAATGCATTTTTAAATTAAACTCTGTATACACATTCTCCCATTTCAGTCTGAATTTYTTGACTGCATGGTAACATTGTCACCTGAACAACAACAAAATGACCTACAAAAAAAAATCTACTCTGCACATCCCTTCAGATAAAAGGATGTGAAATAACCCTTTTTGTCCTGTTTCTACTTAAAAAAAATTAGCAATGTTCCTTGGACTAGGGATTTAAGTCTTCCTGACATAGCAGCCCTTATTCCAAATTCCTTTCTGTTTTGGTATTTGGGTTTGGCTTTTTCATCCTCTTCGAAAGTAATATTTGCTGAAAATCTGTTGTTTTACAGCACTATGGGGTGCCAGCCAGCAAGAGACAGTGCTCTGAATCTGATGATATTTGTTCCATTTGCCAAGCTGAATTTCAGAAGCCTATTCTGCTGATCTGTCAGGTAATATACACAATCCCAATTACATTTTAAAAATACATTATTATTATTATTATTATAAATAGCTGACAAACAAAACAATATAAAATGAGTGTAYATTTGATGATTATTTTTAAAAATCAGAATGTACAAATAATAKATCACCTTATAAATGGAAGAGCTTAGAAGCTCTAAGTTGTCATTCTTTTCATTACAGCACACATTTTGTGAAGAATGCATCTCTTTATGGTTTAATAGAGAAAAAACCTGTCCACTCTGCAGAACTGTTATTGCAGACCATGTTAACAAGTGGAAGGATGGAGCCACGTCTATGCATCTCCAGATTTTCTAAAGCTTGTCAAACAACTTGGCTTCCAGTTTGTTTGCTCACACTGAGGCTTTTCAGTTTACTGCAGATTAAATTGTAGGTAGCACAAGGAAAGAGTTTGCAAATTCCACATACCATGTATTTAAAACAGTGCAGAAAATGGTAACTTGGCCTTTTTTTAAGTAGAGAAAATTGAAGTTTTTGGAATTAATGCAGAAAAACCAGCATTGCTTCTCTTGAGATTCTCATAGGAAACAGTCAAATCCTTGAAATGTGCTGCATTACTTCTTAATTCAACATTTTATTTTAAAAGTTTCAGTAGGGTTCCAGAATGTACTAAACTGTATTTATCCTTCTAACATGACTCAYCCCAAAAGGTCAACCTACTGATTTTATTAAGATCATGAGAAAATGTTATACCCTGGACTACAGTGAGAATTGGAGCTGCTTGTCACTCTTGGCATTCAAGATCTTTAATGTTTGCCCAGTAAATGAGAGAAATGAGCTTATTAATGCATCTGGAACAACATCTATTTCTCACTGCACCTGTAGATAAGCACAAGAATAAGATGTTTCCCCTTTAGGTTSTTGGATTCTTGGCTTAATCTTTTTAGCTCTAAACCAACCACTGATGTTAGTTTTTTACTTGGCATTTTATAAAGCTGGTATTTTTAAAAGAAATCTTTAATACTATATTTTTGTCATAACAGGAACCAGATTTTCTTACAGGGGAATAATCTATTTTATACTCTATTTGCAATTTGTAGTTTGCATAAAAATCAGAGAGAATAAATGCATTTGAATCTATGTTTGGTGCATGTTGAATAAAGATTTGTTATTGTTTTGGTATTAACTTATATGTAGGCACAAAATAACTGCTCACTGMCAGGTATATTTTTCTTGTTAAAGAAAACAAAAACCCTTTAAAAGTTACAATTTATTCATGATCAGTTTTTATGTTATTTCCAGCACTGACTTCTGTATAACCTCACTTTTTTTTCCACCTTGCTATTCAAATAAGACTGAAAACATCACTCAATTATTCTGTTACAGGAAAGTTACATTTAGTTACCTCGAGCTTGCCTTGACTGAAGACATTTAGAAAACTTGTAAAGTCAGGAAAAACAGAATTACAAAGTGAACCACATAGCTGAATACCCTTAAAGGTACAACTCCAAGGGCAGAATCCAGTATGCAGAATAAAAATCAAATGAGATGGAAGATCAAAGCTAAGAAATATCATTACATGTGGTCTTTAAAACTCACCAAGATTATTTTATGGAGCACAACAAACTCAGTGCTTTAAGTCACCCCTGGATTGCTGCTGATCCTTTGTCTACCACGTGGTAGTGACAACTGGAATAAGGGTGGAGATTGGTCAAAAACAGGGATCAGGGAACACTTTCTCTTCTTTCTCTCCTTTCTCTCTTTCTGCTGATTTTTCTATCCAAACCCAGTAATATTCACAAACATGTTTTATTAAAAAAACGAAGAATAAAAAGAGATTTTCATCAACTGGTTTAGATTTACACTTGCTACATGGAACAGGTCATTCTCAGTTAGAGAGGGGGGAAAAATTGAGTACCTCCCATCCAGGAATSCCATCCTCTCTGAATGACTCTTGGGATGGAACTCCTGATTGAGGTCAGAGCCACTGCCCTGCTTCCCACACAGACACCCAGCAGGTCTGAGTCTGCAGGGACACAGAAAGTACAAAGGACAATCAACAGCCACTTTTTAAGAGCCTAAGAACCCAGGGGAAAGTACCAGAAGGAACCTCTTGGGTCCTTTAAGTTCTGAGGGAATTCCTCCTCCCTCCCTTTCCCATCARAGCTCTCAGGAAAGACAATGATTTACATTTACTGTTCTACTTAGGGCCTACCTACTTCCTAAAATAAAAAGAAATAGGTCACTTGGATTAACATATGTTTCAATTTGCATTTAGCTGCTATTCACATCCATCTTATTCAGCACTYGAGGATATTTAGTTCCAGTAAACTGTGAGAGATGAAAACCAGGACAGGGATTACCTTTGTTTCTACTAAGGCAGCTCAAGGGTGTTCTTGCAGACAGCTGCAAATGGAGTTAGTCTAGAAGAGAACAACTGGAAAAGTTCACCTATGGGAACTGCACCCAAGGATCTGCAGGAAAAATATTCAAATACTTTGCCTTGTTCTTAATGCCTTCTCCTTTTGGATAAAGGATTTCCCTTTCAGCTGGGAAAACGAAACAGCAACGATCCTGCTGTAGAGACGGAATGAAAATAACCCAAACAAACCCCGAACATCTGCCCTAAAASCAGACCAGCCTCCCTCAATGTTTGATGCACTTTTTGATTAACACTGAGAGCAGGCTGGGAGTACGTATCAAAAAGAGAACAGACCCAAAATAAACTTCAACTGTACACTTAGAGTGGACTCAAATATTAAATGTTCTCCAGCAGTTCAGCTTTTAAACATCGAGACCAAAAAAAACGGGATATTCAAAAGAACAATTGACTCGTTGATTTTTATCTTTTATTATGAGCTAATACCAGGATGACATTCAAATGTCAGATGGCACAATTAAGACAGTCTTGGTAGGAATTATTCCAGCATTCCCAAAATTACAATTTAGTACACGAATGGCGTCAAATGTATGCATCACTCCCACAGAGAAAAATTATGGAATTCTGAATATCTTATACCAGAATAGTTTCTGCATCAAATGGGAAAAAGAAAAACTGCTGGTAACACAGCTGACCTAGAAACCTTTTCTGATAATGACCTGCAGAACAAAATATTTCCCTATTTAACATCTAGTAAAAAAAAATATGACTTTTGTTCAAGTTTAAGATTTAATACTTTTTTATATGGTTAGCCACAACAGGTATTAACCTCAGTTTTACTATATTTTTGTAATGCTACAAAAATCCTATAAAATCAAATTATAGTGAATTCTTCAGTGATTATAATTAAAAAAGCGCAGCTTGTACAAAATAAAAAAAATAAGATTCTATACTCTAATGAAAAATTTAAGACATTTTTAAATGAACAAAAGAAAGCACTTGTTAAGCTCTCCAATATTCAATGCATTCTGCACTTATCTGAAATAGCCAGACAGGAGCTAGAACTCCACTCCCCTTAGTTCACAACTAGTAATTTTGACACTATTATATATATATATAGAGGATCTATGTCTGATATTTTTACAAATAAATACAGGATAAACCATATTGCATAGTGTGTGCTTGCTGTCTGAGTCACACTCCAAAAGTTTCACAGTTATGGTAGGGAATTCAACTTAGAATCTACGGGGTGAAACATTGACAGTACATGGAATTTCCTTGGAAAACCGATGGGTTGGATTTGTAATTGATCAGTGAACTCAGACAAACAACTCTTGCCATTCTTGCCAGCCATTAAACCAATTCCACTGGACGATTCTATCCAGCCAAGCAAAAAAGCAACTGTTAGCTGTAACTAGGACCAAGAGAGATCTGCCTCTAAAAAGTTCTAATTTTTTTTTTTTTTTCACCAAGTTCCTTTATCCTCAGTGAATGTCAGGAAAAGTCCAGGTGCTGTGTGTTTGCTGACAGGCCCAAAGCAAACACTCTTGAGCACCTGGATTTTGGTTCCACAAAATCACCCGTGGCCACGTCACCAACTGAACAATGGCAATCTTCCAGTATGTCACTGTAAAGGTAACTTGATTTTCCTGCTAAAACTAGAAAAAAAATTAAATTTTCCAACAAAAGGCTTATCAGGAAGAAAAAAAAATGCTAATTTTTGCTCAATCATAACCATTTTTTTGTTGGTTCTTTGTTAGCATCAAGGTATCGCTGAATCCTTCTGCCTTGCCCATTTTAGCAAAGAGCACTGTGATCGGATTCAATGCTTAGAGAGAGTTTTTATGGCTTGGATCCTATGGCTCAAAAAGATTCAGTATCCACAGAGTAAGCAGAATCTAGAATAAAAAAATCCCTACTGTTGTGAAACACCAGAAGTAGACTTTGCACAGTTTGACTAAAGATAATGCAACGTGTGGCAGGCAAAAAGTGACAGGACTTGTATGCAGCTGCATGATCATCTCCACACACACGCACACACCACCCACACTCTAACTCTAGGGTAAAGCTCTGCAGATATTAACCCTTTCACCAGCTATGTTCATGGAAATGCTTTCTCTTTAAGGCAGGAAGTATTTAAAGTAAGGTAAAGTTTACCTTTATTTTATTCTTTGTACCTGTAAGTCAGTTGTACAGATCGTGACAATTTTAAAAACATAAATAGTGTCCTTAGAACATGTTTGCTAAATTAAAGTTTGCTAAAGTTCTGACCCACTGTGGAAGACATTCACTGAAAGGCCATTGAACACTTTTCTCATACAATCAGCAAATTTATTGCCCCAGCATAGAAAAAAATGTTGATAAATTTAGAAATGTATAATGGCAGGGAACTACCATAAGCAAAATTTTATTATTAATAATAATAATAATAAAAATCCTCAAATTCTTACCCACTGGTTACAAAAATATTTTATTTCCTTATACTCTGGAGGATTTGTCTGTGCTTCCTGTGGTACTTCCTACAGATTTCTACYGACCTTGTGTTCTGCTGCACTGTTGATGTCTCTGTGGGTAAGAATCTGAGCTGCTCAGCTGTGTCCAGCCAAGCACCAGCGTGTACAAAAGTGATGTTTCCCAGTGAAATGTCTGCTGAGGACAGGGATGAAATAAGCAGGACGTGTGTGAGCCCATGGCTTCCAGTTAAGCCTAGAACATAGCAGCACTGCTGTTTGATTAGATCCATTTGTCTTTGCAGGAACGGGGATTTCAGCTGGGGAAGCRAGGGAAACAGTTCTCTGCCACCCCACACTGCCAGGCTGGTCAGGGTGTGATTCACTTATTGATTGGTTGGTTCATGAGGAGGAGAATCAGAACTAGAGCCTTGAACTTTCTTCGCAGCAACCAATTAAGTTTGCCTTTTTTTAAATTTTGGGATACTTTCCATAATGAGCTGAATCAAAAAATCTATTTGGAAAAATATATATTTTTATATATATATATAAAAAAAACTCATTACGTTTTGAATGTGAAACACCAATTAAGTTTAGCTTTCCTCTTTGATTCCACCCCATTGTAGGAAACCGCTTAACGAAGCTTGCATGCTAATTACCCCTCAGCTGCAAGCCTGCAGGCATTCCAAACTCTGCCTAGTGAAAGGGCCAACCCTCCTCGACACATTCACGACTACACCAGTGATTCTGTAGCAACATCCTGCCCCTTAATACTGTCAGTTTCGAGCTCTCAAGCTGAAAGATCCTTGATAAGGTGAGAAGATGTCACTGGAATCAGTAAGATGATGTGCCTAGAGTTCTGCAATACCATTTGCTAAAGTTTGTTTTTTTTTTTATGCACCATTGATTGACAGGAAAAAAAATCCATTTTTCTTTGCTTTCCAAGTCTCTCTGTGCAATGACCGACTCTTTGATACTGTCACTTTTTAAAAGTAAACCAAACA